TGACGCCACGCTATTGCTCTTGTGCGAAACGGTCATTTTTTCCGAACGAGCCAGCTCCAGTTCCGACTTTTCTAGAACATGAATTTTTATTTTCCCGTCAGATCCGAGTTACGCTGAGGCTCCTTAGCACGCTTATCCTATGCTGCTGTAATTTGCTACATGAGTCGTTAGTCCTTTTCATTACATTGAGCGGATGTTGTACCAATATGGATTTTTATAGCCATTCTTTGCCAGTCAGAAGAATTTCGGATTTTGGGAACACTACACCATTTTTAAATCAAAAAACGCATTTTTAAACAGATTTCTTAATTTTCTAGGTCTTCCTCAGCCAACTCGATGCCTGGTTTTAGCATTCTTGGGCTTAACTTGACTCCAATTAGTACTTTTAAGGCAGAATTGGGCTGCTTTTTTCTTCGTTACCAGTTGCTATCCGCTATTTTAGCAACTACATACATCATTCGTCAAAAAATCTTCAAAAAAATAAATCAAAATCCATTCGTACTTGTAAGAAGAAAAGGCATTCGGAAGTATCGCAGAAGTAGCAAATAGCATCAGCAACCACCCGAAGGTAAAACTACCACCGATGGCTCCTTTATTTAACGCCATGTGAGCGAAGGTAAAACGAGTGGCGCGCTTTGCCTAGGAAATCTTCGTTCGTGATATAATTTACCGATTCCGGTGTCTAGTCCTGCTGCTCCGCGCATTGTTTTTTCGTCCGATGTGCCAGATGATGCAGCTGATAAAATGGACTTGGAATCGTCCTGCAGCTGGGTCTCCAGCTTCGAATGTAGCGAGCGTTCGATTGCGGTTCCAGCGATCTTCGAGCTTGGAGTCCGGAACGACGGAGGAGTCTGTAACTAATAATAGATTTGGAAAAAAAGCATCGGAAAAAAGAAGCCACAAACAGTTTTTTGAGTGAATATAAGAGTTCCGTAAAATTCGTGGAATTTTTAGCGGACAGCTAAAAACTGGAGTATCCAAACGAACTAGTCTAAGAACTATAAAAATTAGCATAAAATCCAAGCACTAAAAAATTAGCTTGTGAATACATTTCGCTTCGTGGCTAGTTAGTTCACAGCCAACTTATTTTCCTCAGCATGAATGGTATTCCATGTTTCACTTACATTAAACATCTGGTGATACAATGGAATTCGAAAATGTTCCTTTTGTATCTTTGAGAAAATTAGGTTTTTAAGTAAAATTAGTCTTTTATATGTTGTATAAAAGGTCACAACACGGAATGCGCCAGTTTCAGCCACGAAACGATATGCTTTAGAAATGCTGAACATTCAATGAACACTAAGTTTTATGAGTTTTCATCGATGCTGAGATTAAGCAGAAAGAAAAACCCGAAAAAGTAAGGTCCAGTCATCATAAGATATTTTCTGCCAACTGTTAAATTTAAAATGCACTACTTATAATTTTCCCCACACTCTTGAGTATACTGTTTTCTGCTTTGCTTAGCTTAGTGTTTCCTGACGTCGATGAATTATACAAAATTAGATGTCCCACTATATTACTGTTTTAAATTCTCGAAACTAGGGACAAACCTGAACTGATCTGCCGGCTGAACGCCTCACATCAGCATTTTTAACCGATTCATTGGAGCCGGTTTCTTTTGTTTTTATCGGCTTCGCGCTTCGTTCGTCTTCCACTAAGAAGAATTCGGGCAAAATATTAAAAAAATGTGCAACATTGATGTCACTGAGTTCAAAAATCTGGACACAATTATTTCCAAAGACGTAACCACCATTTTTTGTTTTGGTGGGGGACTGGGGGAGGGAGGAAGAGAAGCATTTCACAAAGAGCAAAAACACTTGTCC